CCTCTTGTCAATTCTGGCTTTGCCATCTGTACACTGACCAGTCTAACTCTGCTCACTGGATGGAAGATGAAGAGATTACATCTGGACAAAGAAACAGAGAAATTATTAAGCCTTCTGTTTTTTGATTAATAGCAGAGCTAGCTGTATTTACCATCTGGGTTGGAAAGAGATTTGGCTGTGCTCAAGAAAGGTAAGAAATGATGAAGAAACACAGGAGATAAATAATGTCAGAGTCAGCAGAAAATGACTTCACAAAAGTCTGTCTCAACACCCAAGATGTCTCATGAACAAATGGCTGCAATTGCTGCAGTGTATGCAAAACATTTCCTAGCACAACCTGGCGGGCAGGGGAAAAAAAGAAAATTAAGGAATGTGCCATCAGTTTAAACCACAAGGAAGGGGATGATATTGGAGAGGAAGGGGATACACTCCTTGTCTCTCTCCAGCCTGCTTTATGTGAACAGCCACTTCCCATCCTCCTTGTGGTCATGACAAATGTGAAGCTACCTGGACAGCAGTGACTTAAAACTTATTTACTTTTATAGGAAATGAGGCATGAAAACTATTATAAAAAAACCGCGATGTCTGAAGTACAAGCTGCAGTTCACTTTCCCCACAGAAAGGTTCTGAATGCCAGAATTGATTGTAAAGCATGGTGGGATGCTGGAAACATCAGCAATTCTTCCTAGAGCATGGCAATACCATATTATGAGGCCAAGTTAGAGAAAGAGCAGAATAAATTGCTTGTATGAGCACCTGACACACGGCTTTGTTTGTTGAAAGCGGTTGCAAAGCTCAGAAAATTCTCCACATATTTGGCCTTTGATCTTGTCAGAGTGGTCCATAAGATCAAACCTATTCAGTGCTGGTGGAAATATCATTAGTGAAAAGAAAAGCCACATCATCTAAGTCCCTACAGAGGTCTTGTGTAACATGAGGGTGCCTGAATGTGAGAGTCAATATATGTCCCAGAAGCACAGGTTGATAATTAAAAGACCAACTAATGCCTGGAGCAATTTAACCTTTCTTCCTCACATCACACATTGCAGCTCTAATGCATCTTCTGTGCTGCATCTTGTACTTTCTCCATTTTTGGCATGTTCCTGAGACAGCTGCCACGTGTTGAAAACAGAGCTGTTAGAGCAACTTCATGGTATCCTGGGACATCCTGTGTTTAGGGGAAATACTCTACTGTCCCATTGGCCACACAGCCCCACCGGTGGAAGTTCAGCCCCTCCTGGTTATTCTCAGAAGTAGCACTGCCTCTGCTGGAAACTTATTCCAAGTGTGGCCCCACTCATGCTTGTGAATGATTCCTTTTACACTTGACAATTCAGAGGAAAGAGAGACTGTGGAGTGGGGACAGGAAGAAATTCTTGGCTGTGCACCAAAGTGTGTTTAGTTAGGTCTGCTAAAGGCTTCTTCCACCTTTCTTTGGCTCATTAGAGACAGCACACTGAGCACAATGGACTTGATCTGGTGTGAGAAATCCCCATTCTCACAGGATGCCTCCTTCAGAGCAGGCACTTCCCTGACAGTTATTACCTGCCTCCAATTTACTGACCACTGGCTCTGACAGAGCTCTATAAAGTGCACAGCAAATAGTTTATTCCAGGGAAGCAGGGTCCAGCCTGCTCCTTTATCCCCCTTACAGCAGTGGTGAGAGAATCAGGCTGCAGCACACCCAGAGCACAGAGAGCCTGAAGAGGAAAATTAAAGGACACAAACAGTTATGAACCTTGACAGGTGAAAATGTTTGCTGTCGGAGGGAGATGCTGAGATGCCAAGTCAATGCCACGCACAGCAGACACCAGGGCAAAGAGAGACAAATGCAGGACATGAACTGCAGGGATTTCACAACAGAAGAGATCTCTGGCTCCACAGCTTTTGATCTCTGTACCTTTGCAATGAGACATTTCATCTGGGAGTCAGCTTTATCCAGTGCTGGATTAACTTCTTGTTCCACAGCTTGACCTGTCACCCAGAGTATTACAGAGATGGGCGCTCAGAAACCCATACACAGAAAACACATTAGATTGAGATAGATCTATTTAACATCAGCACTGTGCAATACATCATGCTGCTCACAGCTTAATTTCAGCCTGATTTCCACAAAACAAAACCCTAACAACTAAGAAAAGCTCATGTTTTCATCCAGGCTGAACAATACTAATATTTTCTTTTGATTTTGGTGAATACTGCCATGGAAAGCCTCACCCAAATTGGTATCTCTTTCTAGACTCATCAGCAGGACAGTTTTTGGGACACATTTTCCTTTGCCAGAAAACATTAGCTACAGTAAAAGCTATTGCCTCCCACTTAAATATCTGTCATGCATATCATTTCCTGGGACCAGGACACTGCAGACTTCTGGAACAGGGATAGCTTGTAAGCTGCTCAAAACACACTGCTGTTAACTATTTAAAGCATTTAAGAAAAAAAAAATTCACCAAGTGACCACCCAAAACTTTTCCTGTGTTACACCTGAAGGATCCCTAAATCTGATTTTGCTTTGGCAAAAGTACACAGAAATGTGGGTATTTTTATTCACACCCACTCACACTTTCTGAGGCAAAGTATAGAAAGCATGTAAGGATACTGTGCATTTTTCTGGAAAGCACACAGGAAAACAGAGCTAATTTTAAACTACAAACATTTCACTCAAACCCACAGAGGTGGGTCTATCCTAGGAAACAGCAGGGTATAATTTCCATTGATGTCATGATATACCAGCAGTAAAGCTACAAGATTTTGGTGCTACCTCTCAGAACTAGATTAGACTTAATATTTACAGATTAATATTAGACTGAATGCCACCCCTCAGCTTCCTCCAGAGAAATGTTTTGATAGAGAATATATATGGGTTTTTTTTCAAAAGCTGTGAGTAGAGAGAGGGATGTAGAAATAGTTGCCCTCCTGCCTGTATCAGTGAGCCCTCTGTATTCTGCATTCTTCCATTGGTTCCAACATTCCCACTAAAACCAAACCATGGAATTCTCTTGGCTCAGCTCAAAGAAACATGGGAAGAAAGTATTAATTTTCTGAATCAGAATCAATATGCTGCAAAACCATTTCCCATTAATTATTTATTCTTATGCTAGCAAACACTTTGGTCCCTGCATCTCTCTTCACACAGCATTTGCACCCAGCTCCTGCAATGTGACACCTCTGGGTGGGATTATCAATTCAGCTGTTTACCTGGTCTCCAAATGGTAACAAATTACATCCAAGCTAGTAAAATTTCACAAACTTGCAATTACACCCAGTGAAGTGAAAATTAACAACTACCTATCAGTTGCCTTTTAGCAATGACATTCATTCCTGGATGCCATGGAGTGCTCACTACTGCTGGGCAAACTTGGAGAGGTAGAAGACTTTGCTTTCAACTGCTGAGGACACATGGGAGTTTTACAAAGTAAGAGAACTTTTATTTTTTTTTTAACTTCTTTAAACATATTTGTCACTAGAGATCTTCCTTCTGTACTGATCAACTACCACACAGTATTGGATAAACAGAATGAATTCCAATTAATATAAAGTCAGCCAAAGGAAAAAGTAACAGAAGGCTACAAAGATCACAGAAAATGCTCACTGAGTTACTGTGACCAGATGGCTTTTTGTCAATGTTTGAGAGAAGTCAGGGTTTGATGTTTTTCTTCCACTACATTATTTTCATGCAAAGGCTCTTCTAGCTCCAGTTCAAAAGTTTGATTTATATCCCAAAACCAGCCACCTAGCCAGGCTCCAGCAGCTCTTTCTAATGACATAGCAATGATTTTTTGGATGGCTGTCCACAACATGGATGGTGTTTAGCATCCACCTCAATTGCTTCCTTTATATGTTCACACTACAAGTGAGCACAGCTAATCCAAAGGAAAGTCTCTACATTTTATCCCTCTTTTTAAACCGTCCCTCATAAACATTTAAAACTGTGAACAAGCTTGCAAGAATGGGTTTTGGCATGAGGAACAGGTGGTGCTAATGTTGGGTAAATGTTCCTGCAGGGGAGAGACTGGAAGTCTGCTATAAATTACAGGGGTATTTCTGCAACTGAAAAACTTGATGCTCATTGATGAAGCTGAGAGAGCTCTTTGATGACAAAGCCATCGGGGAGCTTCAAATCATGTCACATCACTAAGTCTTCTTTCTCCATGTGTCTTGGAAAAACATTCTTGCAAACATATGTGATGCACATAGCACTAACAAGTGATGATGGTCTAGAGAAATTATGTATTTCTGCTTCATCAGAAATTCAAGCTGAATAGTCTCAGACACTTTTCCAGGTCAAATTCCTCTTGTATTTATAATGGGACAAACTCACTTAAATACCCCCCACTGAACATAGGAAGCAAGTAAATTAATTTTGCAATCTGGAAAAACATGTCCTAAATAAGCAGCGGGATCAAAACTTCTTTCTGTCCATCAAAAAGTCATAAATCTATGCTCTAAATGACTAAAGGACTCCATGCAGTGAGAAAAAGAACTTATAGGAATATACTTGCAGTATGAGGTCCACAATTTCTAAATCTTGTTACCAATGTCCTTTTATAATCTACAATACTTGTTCCCTACAGTGCAGCACTTGGATAATGCCTTTCTTATAAGATCCTCTCCATGGAGGCTCTGAGCTGGACAGAACCCCATGTGACAGTGAGCAGGAAAATGTTTCCTGCTGATGAATTTTTCTGGGGCAGTACCATTCTCATGTGCCAGTAAGCAGTTTTGATAGGAAAATGGAAAATCATTGGAAAACAGAGAACAGGTGCTTTTCTTTCACCTTTTTTTCTCCACATGGATGGCTGCAGGGCATGGACCCACTGTTTCAGTAGTTTATTTGGGAGTCAATTATATCTCAATTCTAATTACTCTCCATACACTGCAGCTTCCAAGATACAAATCTCAGCCATAAGGCGAGTCCGTTTCTGCAGATTTAAACCCAAAACATGCCCCACCAAACTCCATTCCCACAGCAGAGCCCTCTGGATACAGCAGTCACTGACCTTTGTGCCCTGTCTGTGATCTCCTCCTCCAGATCCAGCAGGAGTGCTGCCTGAGCCATCAGCTCCTTGCTGCAGGGCAGGGATTTGAGGTGCAGAATCAGCAAACCAAGGCAAAACTTGCTTCCCATCTCCTCCAGCTCCTGTGTTCCCAGCTGCAGGCCCTGATGGAGAGAAGCACAAGGTTTCATGATTCCTACATATGGAAGTTTCCCCTACAGAATCATTTGTAAATTAATTAACAGCACGTGGTCTACAGAAGCTATCCTAAAATAGCCTCTGTTTTACAGCAGAGGAAACAGAGGCAAATGGTTTAAATGTCTCAAATAAATTTTTAGAAGTCGTTGCAAGAATTAGACGTAGGAATTGGACCCCAGGAGAATCTGACTGTAAATCCACTTTTATAAATCATCCAGTTTTTCTCTGTAGAGGAGCTGTCTACCTAAGTAATGGGGGGAAAAAAATAAGTCCTGTGATTATAAACATTAGGCAGTGGCAAAGATGGAAAAGGGAACTGGACAAGGAGAGAAAAGAGAGGAAGAGATCTTTAACAAGTTATGAATTGTTTTTTAAGAAAATCAATTGCAAAGTAATTGCAAAATAACAGACACCTCCAAGGAATTTCTCAGTCTCTTAAAAGCTAGTGGCACAAACAGGGTTTGGATTATCAACTTCATCTTTCACAAGACGAATTCTCCAAGCTGTGGATCCTTGCTGGTTGTGAATATTCTGTGTTTGGTTTTAAACCAAGGGCCTGCATCAGAGGAAGTCAGTGTAATTGATGGCAGTTTCATGCTTCTGGTGAGAGGAGGGCAGGAGACACACAGAGCTCAGATAAACCAGAAAGAAACTAAAACTGCAGAGTCCCTCATCTTTGGCACTTGGAGACTGCATCACCCATCAGGGGCTGGACCAGCTGCTGCCTCTGCCAATAACAGCCCTGTGTGGTGTTGCAGCAAAAAACATCTCTGCAGCCAAGCTTCTGAGAGACTTCCAGCTCCATGCCCAGGCTGTTTCCTTAGCAACTCTCAGGAGTCCAGAATAAGCCCTGGCCCTAAGTACGGTGTGAGCTGCACATAACTCTCCACGAGATATTTGTTAGTGAGCACCTCATGGGTACTGAACATATTATAATTTCTATTATAAAACATTTATATTATAATGTGTTCAGTAATCCGTGACAGGGGACAGAGCTCTGCTCTTTTCCTATATAAAGTTATTTTTGTAAAATGCTTTGGGATTCTGGGGTCTGAGCACCTCTGTATGGCTGGAAGATTATTTCTGAGGCAAAAACACACAGGTGGATGGAAGAAAGAAGAGATTTCACTTATAAATGTCTGCAGCTCTCCTGAGGAGTTTTTCAGCACATTTTTGTTAGAGGACAGAAACCATTTGCACAGCACCACCATAACTTCCTCTCTAGCAGGTCCACCACATGTAAATATCATCTGGCATAAAAACCACCCTCTCTGATCACATTTCCCTATGGACAAGATATTATAATTCAGTTTATTTTCTGAGGCCCTATGAGCAAAGCATGAATTTATAGTTATGATGAACATAATCCAGAACTCAAACATGTTGGACAGGGAAGGACCTGCTCAGAAGAGCACACTCCATCTGAGGGAACAGCCTCAGTGCTAGGCAGGGTCTGGGGCCCCAAGAAAACTGACTTTTTCCCTCTGAACATTCTCTGAAGCATGTTAATCACTGTGGTTAAGTGTCTAACATAATTTCTACTCTCCTCTTATTCACCTCTACTGCAAGTTTTGCCAAGCAAGATAGGGGTATAAAAAAGTTTAGTAATAATTTATAAGAAAAACAAAAATGTAGGGAGAAGTTTATGGGAACTGAGGGTCATTAACACAAAACAATAAGAAGGCTCAGCAGCTCTAAACAGATTCCTAAATGTTTTATTATTTTACTTTAAAAGACTGAAGATATTGTAGTGTGGCAGAGTTACAACCAGCAGGCAGAAGTGGTGACATTTCAGAGAAAAAAAGATGTCATTTCCACAGCAAGAGAGTTATTTTCTCAGGGGCAAAAAATACAAAGAACATCTCGAGGCTTTCCCTGGGGTGCATCTCAGGGTCTTGCTTCCAAGATTAAGGCAACATACTAAACAGCTATCAAGGAGATGCAAACAGTGCCTGAGCTGAAACTCAGCCTGTGGCTTTATGACTCCCTAGAGCTTTACTCAGGATATGGAAAGGCCTTAAGAAACGATGAGAAAAACAACAATAATAATGATATTAACACTATAACACACCTCAGAAGCCTAAGACAGTAACTGTTCATGCACTGAAGTCAGCTGCTGGATGATGCACCCATACTGCTTTGATGTTAGACAGCTCAGGAGTAACAGCTAGAGACTCAGCCAGAGGATTGCCTGTTAGCATACTTTATTCACTTCAAACATGGACATCTATTTATTTTAACTCAGGCAATTTTCTCTCTCCTTTCTCCCTCCCTCAGCAGAGGGAGGAAGGAGCTGGAGGTGCAGAGCAGCACTGCCATTAAACTGAAGCTGGGGACAGAGCTGACATGTTGAGCTAATGTTATTGATGGCATCTGCCAGCAATGCCAGGACCTGGTGTAGTGGTTAATAATCAGTCCCACCTGCATTACTGAAAGGGAAGCCTGACCTCCAGGCATTTCCCTTGTAGCCAAGTGGCACAGCCAGCTGCAAAAATTTTGAGATGGTGCTTACAACACAGACTTATGAAAACATCCTAAAAGAAAGAAGGTGGAAAGGTAGAAATGATGCAGTCTGGTTTGGCTGAGGAGCTGGTAGGCAGCACAGCTCCACGGCAGGGAAGCTGTCTGGGTGTTACCAAGTGACAACACACGGTCTGTTTGTCACAGCTGTACAGGAGGAAGCTGCTCTACCTGCCAGCACCTCCCCTGCAGTGTCCTGCCAGCCTGGATTCTCAGTGACCCCATCTTCTTCTCTGGCACAAGGCTTTGTCCCCTCCTCTGGTCACATCTGTGTGACCAGCGGAGCGTGGTGCAAAGCCTCCCGTGCCAAAAGGACCCAGGTGGATTCTGAAGGAGGAAGCAGCAGCCCTGCACCAGAAAGCTGCAGATAAGCTCATCAGTCCTAATTAGTCCAGCCTCAGAAACATGCTAACTAAACTACCCTACTTTAATGATCAGCTCAAAGCTCCACACAGGTTTTGCTGTCCATTACATCAAAGCACCAGTCTGGACCAGCTTCAGCTTGATGCACCAGATTCCTCTGCACAATGCAAATTGGTCCCTTGGGCTCTGTCATGCAATAATCTTCTGCAGACATCATGTTAAGGGATAACAGGTTAATTGTTTCCTGGCTATTATAGAGAGTAATGGAGCTGAAAAACTTTTCTTAAACCCTTTTCACATTTTTATACTGCAACAGACAGAATGGGAGGAGGTGATGCCTAATAACAGTTCAACTTTGAGTTATATTTATTTTCCACTGTAATACAAAACAGGGGAACAAAAATAAAAGACTTATCATTTGGCCTCAATACTGTCAATACAAATTTTCCTAAACAAAATGGATCAAATTGTATTGGAAAACCAGTTCATTCAAGCTCAGCACTGATGCATCAAATGAATACCCACAACTGAATATCTCTCATCTTGCCCTCAAAATTCTTCCCAGACTAAATGACAATGTAATGGAAAAATTTTATTATTCATTACTCATGTGCTTTAAATACTCCAGGAGACAAAGACATTGATAGTTTTGTATCACAGATATTGTTGAAGGAGGTGGAAAGACTCCAGGAGTTAAATTAGAGATTTCTCCACAGGGTAATGAGAATTACAGTAAAATTAGAGCTGGGAGATACTAATAAATACAAGTAGAGAGAAAATTTCAGAGGGATCAATTTTTTCCTAAAAGGGATTTTTGACGTTCAGCACAGGCACATCAGTGGCCTCTCCTGCTTTAGGTCACTGCTCAGTCCTTGGGGCAACAGCTTTTCCCTGCAAACCCACTTCCAGTCAACACATAGACACACACACTTACAGAATATTCCCTGCATCTCAACAGATTTACACATGCACAATGGCTATGCCCTCAGGCCGGGTATAAATAAATTGACAGTCTGGTTTCTCACTAATTCCATCAGTGAGCTCTCCCTCGGAATACTAATCAAAACCATTTGGAAGCTCTAGAGGACAAACTTAGGGAGCTGAATGAAACATTTGGTGCCTGGTGTCTGCAGCCTTAATTTTAGCTTGAGCCAGCCCTGAAGGTTGCTGTACTTTCAACCCCTGTGAATGAAAATACACAGACACCTGCTGGGGACCTGGCTATTTGGACAGCTAGGACAGCAGGGAATAACCCAGGTTTTCCTATGCCCCAGAGATCCCTCAGCAGCAGGAATGGTATGCAAAACAGATGAAGTGGAGGGGATGGGAATTTGGGCCAAAACATATCAAGAGGATTAAGCAAGTGGAAAAGGCTGAAGATGCAAGGGGAAAAATAAAACAGGCTATCAGGAATTTCTAGAAAGATGAGAGGGACTGGAGTTAAGAGACAGGAGATAAAAGGGTGGGGGAGATAAAAGGATGAGAAAGAAGAAAGAGTTGTTGAGGTCAATGGATGCTGATACAGAGGAATGATAACAAGAAGAAAGCTAATGGCAACCTTGACCACCTTGGCACCCTTAGGGAAGTTGCCTTGCTCTGCACATCTGTCCTCATTACATCTGGTGCTCTGCCCACACGGTGAGGAGAAAAGTCCTGACTTGCTTTGAACCTCCTCACAAAACTTCTGCTGATCTCAGCTGGTGTTTCAGCTGAGCAAACTTCAACAGCACAGAAGGAATTATTGTTTTAATCATTCAAATGGGCTCTTTTACTATTAAAAGCCATGTATGTCACAGGGAACACTGTTCAAGGACCAGACTGAAAGGGAAGATGAAATACCTTCCCCTTCCAATCTGCTGGAGAAAGAGTCCTGGACAAGCTGCTCATAGAACAACTGGGGATTTAACAAACAGAACTTGTTGCCAATTTCTCTTGAAAAAACAGTTATTTAGGTTATGAATTCCCCAGTTGTATTGTGGGGAGAGGTATTTTCCTTCTTTCCATTGACCAGATATTTGTCTGACATTTCCATTTCCTCACATTTCCACTTTTCCCTCCACATTCCCATCTGTATTTCCACAGA